AGATCCACACCTGCTTCTGTGGCTGTTCCCCCAGCTCTCGAGTGGCATGGAAGGAACTCTGCTTTGGAGTTTCCTGAGCGCCTTCCATGCACGGGGTTGGCATCCAGTTCATAAACGCTCCACAGTTCTTCAAGTTCCTGAGAAACTCCAAGCTGGTCGTTTCTCTTCAGTGTGGAAAGCCTTGCCGTTGTTGACGCTTGAGAGGATTACAAGGCTTTATGACTTGATGAACAGGTTTCAAATGGAATGGTGCCTGCTTCTCAGTCTCTTATCAAGGTACAGAATTTTCCAAGAGCAGAGACATGTTAAAGACAAGGAAACTGATGACCTGCATCACTTCCTAAATGAGAAACGTAATTACGTGTAGTGAAATGGTTTTTAAGAATGAGGCAATTATTTAAATTACTTGGTTTTAAGACAGCAAGACACTGCTCTTTGCTTTTAATTTGCAAACGCAGACGTCTTTAAGTTTAGCATAAGCTTTAAGCATTTGCAATGGCATAAAAATAAATAGTGGACGAATTACTGAGAGCGTTTTGGTGATGTGATGATCACGTGAATACCACAACATTGTCGCGCGAGAGCAGTGCAGACAGAGCTGCAGGTGGGCTTGGTCTTTTGGTCGGTATTGCGCAGAGTGAGATTTCTAAATGTCTGGGCCATAATGAATAAAGCTAAATTCCTCTCCCATGTAGCTTTGTGCTGCTCCTCATTTTGTTTGTACTCTTTTAAAAAATTGTAGCTACAGATAGAAGAGTGTCCTGGGATTAGGAAGTGTAATGATTTAGACATTAAACAAAGAGTTGTGTGAGAAGTTTTACTGTCATTAGGAGGAAGTTTAAAAAGACTGGAATTCCATTGTCTTGTAAGAAGTAAGGAATATTTATTGATTCCCAAATGGAGCTGAAGAAAACCTTTCCTCTTTTGGAAAGTTGTGAATGACCCAGCGAGAGCTCTAGTAAGCTTTACTGAACCAAGCTGCTAATAGTTATTTAATGTTATTCTTCAGTGTGAAAGAATCTCCGTAGATTTCCCTTTTAATCTCTTTGAATTGCAGGCTCATAAACCTCTCTGATGAGTCCTGCCAGTGTTTTCTTAGATCCCACCGTTGAGACAATGAAGCCCAGCATTCTTTCACTTCTTGTTGTCAGACAACTGCAGTAGAGCACAGGGTCAGAAGGGCCTGCACTTCTAAGGCCGAGAGAGTCTTTTTCAAGTTGCCACATACATGACTTGATTGTATCACGGCATTCCCCAGGAGCCTCTCTGACTGCGGGGCGCTGCTCTCTACGTGTGAGCACGTTTGGACGTTTTGAGTCTCCGTGTCGACAGCTCCTGAGCACAGCACGGGAAGTGAATGGACCTTCTGAAGAAAAAGTTGAGCCCATTTATTTCGGATAGTCAGGAATCACGTCGTGTCGCTGGACTTAAGGTAGAGGAACCAGATGCCAGGCAGTGTGCTTTTTCTCTCCAAGTAGTCATGGGTTTTTATTTGTTCTGTTTTAGTACACATTGCCATTCTGTAGCAGAGATTCCAGATTTTAAATCTTGGATCTGTTCCTTTGATTACTCAGTCTCCAAGCCAGATTATGTTTTATCAGCATTTTTAATGTCATGTTAACAGGAGAACATTAGGAGATAGGATTTGCATTTCTGGATACCTATTAAGATGTTTCATTACAATGAGCAAAATATTTATAATATGTAATATTACAAAAGAAAAGTAACTTACCTGTTTTGAAAAGACCATGCCTGATTAGTAGACAATTATCAAAGCTAATTACAGGGTTCCTGTGGGTTACTTTAGGGGTTGGGAAAGCATTAAGTTTTCTAATTATAACCACAGTGGTGGACAAGCAGAGATCATTGTTTGGAAAGAAAAAACCCACGGATTTGTTTGTGCCCTTCCTTGTAGTTGTAGTGGGGGCTGGGGCAGGGAGTCCGCTGCTGCCCCGTCCCCTTGACACCTGCCTCTCAACAAAGGACTTTGGTCACCCCCCACCGCCCACATTTAGGTTCACCTTTTACTTGTGTGTGCCACGTCTGCTCGTTATACGCTTCTCCAGGGATCCAATTTTCCCTGGAGTTAATCACGCCCAGCCTTTTTCAGAAGTTGTTAGGTTACCGTCCTTTGAAAGAGCACACACTTTCTTAGAAGTTTCTGCTCTCCCGTTTCCTTCTTCCTGTGACACATGTAGCCACTGGAGTCTGAACGCACAGCCTGCACATCTTTTTATGGATGTGTAACATCTGTACGGAGTGGTGCACAGATCTAAGCGCAGAGCTTGCGGGATTTCTACAGTGAACACACCTACTTAACTAGAGGGCCCCTTGTGACTTCTTCCAGCCACCAGTCACTCCCCCTTCCCTCCTATCACAGGGCAGCTTTGCCAGTCACATTTCTTGTAATGGGTAATCACACAGTATGTTATTGTTTGTGTCAGATACCGATTTTTGACACCACAATTCCCACAGAAACTCAGACTGTGTGCCTTTGGTACTGAATAACAGGTCAGTGTGCAGATGTATAGCCAGCCATAGAACATGAGAATAGTTCATACACTCCTGTTAACTCTGACCTTGCACCAGGCACTCTGCATTTTTGGATTCCACTTTCCCACTTGCCAAGAGATATGGCCTAGCCCTAAGCTTTCAACCAAGAAATAAGTAACTCTCTAAAGTTCCTGTGCATAAAGGTAAGGAAAAAATAATACTGAAAATATAAAAGCCACTTCTTTGAGTAGGCGGAATGATAGAAAGGGCTGTATAAGAAATAATAACTCTGTGGAAATAACAAGAGTTTCCTACTAGAGAAGGCGAACAATAGGAAGCTGGCGTGCTTGGCCGTTAATATTTACAAGGTATTCCTCATTTATTATTTTTAAATAAAAGTGGCATGATGGATATTTATAAATGGGTTGTCTTTTTGTACAACTACTATATTTCAGATGTTCAAGATAGGTTAGATCAAGCTGATTCATCTTGTCATTATTTCTGCCTTGTCTGATTTGCTTTGGTTGATTTCAGAATTACTTAAAATATCTGTAAGATAGATAGAATGGTGGCAACTTTGTTTTAAATTAATTATACCTTTTTTGTTGTTTTTGGTGCTCTAAATAGGATATGTTAAGTGCCACAAAGCTAAACCAGTGTTTAATTCCCCCATTTTAGCCTAGTCATTCTGAGTAGGAAATTAAAACATGATAAGATTTTTTTCTCATCCATGAGACCTTTAGATAGACTTTTTAAAAAATTAGAAATACCTGTATAGCACATCTTTCACATTCTATATAGAAAGTAGTGTACTTTATGTAGAATGTGGAAATTAAATTTTGTTTTGTTCAGAAATATTTAGCATACTGATAAACATTCTGCATAAGCTGTTCAGAAGGTACACAGAGATGGAGGAACACTCTACAACCAAAGTCTCTAACTTTGGGCTTTAGGGACAGTTTAATAGACTATTGGTACCCAGTAAATATGAAGTGGTACAATATTTGACATAATAGAAAACTGTGGTGAGTTCAAAATATTGTATAATCTTTTCATCTATTTTAAAATTATGTAACCCACAATAAATTTTGAACAGGCAGTTATTAAATATAATTAAATTGCAGGCATTCACACAACGGAACAAAGGGAAGCATTCTCAGCAAGTGAACAAGAGACTAGTGAGACAGCTAAAGAAAATTTCATTGGGATGGGGAGTGGATTTTAGTAGGGTTTTTTTGTTGTTAAAGCATTGGCTTCTAGAAGAACGATACAAGCATATGGGAATATAATATGCCTTTAAAAACAGAGACAAGTGTTTCATACCTGTAGTTGCCTTCTTTGTCCCAAAGGACACTTGTTTTAAGAGAGTGCTCACAAACACACTCCTTACTAGCTTTCTAACGTTAGCTATGTGGACTGCCCACTGATCTCATTTAGGTGGAATTCCAGTTCTCCTTGGACCTTCCATCTGCAGCAAAAATGCTGGTCAGGAAACAGCAATGGAGCACCAACACAACGCAACTGTGTTATGGGGTCACTGAAATATTAGAGTAGTTCTCCCTGTAACTTCTTTATTCTTTTGCAAGTAATTAAAAACATCAAGTGATTAACGTCCTTTTATTTGGCTATAGCTTTATTCTTTAAAGCACTTCTAGTCTGCTCTCATTTGCTTGGAAGAACACCCTTCTGTTAGTCTGCCTGAGCTGCCATAACAGGATGCCATAGACTGGGTGGTTAAACAAAATGTATTTTGCACAATTTTAGAGGGTGGGAGGTCCAAGATCGAGATGCTGTTGATTTGGCTTCTGATGAGGGCTCCCTACCTAGTTTGCAGACAGCCACCTTCTGACTGCTGTCACATAGCCTTTCCTCCATGTGTGGGTTTGTGTGGAAAATGATCTCTCTCTTTCCCTCTTCCTATAAGACCACACTCTTAAAACCCGATGTATCCTAAATTACCTCCTAAAAGCTGTATTCCTGAGGTCACATTGTGGGTTTGGGCTTCAACATAGGAATTTTTGAGGGACACAATTCAGTCAACTGCAACCCTCCTGAAGTAAATAAGGAAGAGAGAACTTTTACCTTAGAGATGAAAAAGTCGATACTCCTAATGTTAGAAAGCTGGTAAAGTACTATAACTAAGGTTCAGATATGGTTAATTTTATCCAACTCCATACCACTTTCTTAGCTGGTATAGTTTATCTGACAAAAAATTTCCTTGTTACGGAAGAGAGATCACTAGTTAATCATAAGAATCATCAAAATTGACTTTATGCTTTTTTATGTTGTATAATTGTGAAAGGTGGGATAGATCTTGACTACTGAAGTTTATAGGAAATGGTATGTTCTAGATTTCCAGTCGGCTGAAGTCAGGTTGCTTTAACACTGCTGTCAGAAGTACTAAGGTAGATGAGAGCTGCAGTTACCAGGCTGGAGATGCCCTCTCAGCATTCTTCATGCTTACAGTGAATGCATCAGAATTAAGTGTCTTGTTTTATATTTTACAGAAGATGACCTAAGAAATACGGGACCAGTAGATGCCCAAGTATATCTTGAAGAAATGTCTTGGAATGAAGGTTGGAATTTTTTTTCTTTCTTGCCTACAGTTAAAAAAACTATTGGGACTTTTCTGTAAGATAAAAGAAACTGGGATATCCCAATTTGGAAATCTTAAAAAGTAGTAGATACGTGTTAGTGTTTCTGTTTGGAGTATTTGTGTTTAATTCTAATTTCATTTATTGTATTGATGTCCCCTGCTTGACTCATTTTAAGTTACTTTTCTATTCTGATGAGATGTTACATACATAAAGTTTCAAAAGGATTTTGTTTGTTTTTATTACTTTGGTTTGTGTTACTACTCTGTGTAGTAAACGAAGTCAAAGAAGACAATTCTTTTCATGACTTGATAGTTGAGAGGAATTTCTCCTAGAATTTTATTTTCTCTTGACACAGCACCATAAACTGTCAGGACAGGGCTTGTAATGTAATGCTCCTCTACATGGAAGTTTGATTTTTTTTTTTTTTTTTTTTTTTTTTTTGAGTCAGTGTGTCTGTTGCCTAGGCTAGAGGCAGGGGCACACTCATGGCCACCACAGCCTCCACCCGCTGGGCTCAGGCGATCCTTCCGCCTCAGCCTTCTGAGGAACTGGGACCACTGGAATGTGTCACCATACCCAGGTCATTTTAAAATTTTATTCTAAAAACGAGGTCTCTCCATGCTGCCCAGGATGGTCTTAAACTCCTGGGCTCAGGCATTCCTCTTTCATCAGCCTCCCAAAGTGTTGGGATTATAGGCATGAGACGCTGCACCCAGCTGTCTTTTTAGTACTGATATCTCTCAGGAGGAAAAGAAAAATCTGTCACTTCCCCTGAACTATCATGAAGTCATGACTTTTTCACTTTTCCATTATTAAATTTTTAAAACTTAAATCCAATTTAATTTCTCCATTTTTCTGATAATTCCTTGAATTATTCTGGTTAGACATCAAGTTGAGAAAACACCCTTTCTAAATGGAAGTCATGAATACCACACTTCCATGTTTCTCTGGACAAATGAAGAAAATCTATTTCCTAGAATTTTAAATACTTTCTAATAAGAGTGTATAGAAGGTAAACAGTCATCTGAAATTAAGCTTACTTTTTTAGTAGAACATTCTTAACTTAGCGTTCTTAAGAATTGGGCCCTGTATGACCTTAGAAGGAGAATCACATTTTTGCCTGTGGGACCATTCTGCCCCTCACTGCTCAAATGAAATCCTTGAATTCTTGTTGTTGTAAATACTTGGAAAAGTTGAGGTTTTATAACTGGGGCTCCCAGTGGTCGGAAGACAACACATGTCATGATGTCACCTTATGTAGGAGAGACCTGCCCTATTAGATATAGCTTTTGAAATATAGTTTCCTTATCGATCGGTATGTACATATATGTTGATATGTGTTTAATCCCTTATTAAACAAGCTAGTTCTTGTTGCAGCTGATATGGCTAATACATTTTGTATATGAATGAGTCCTGACAATGTGGAAATAGTGAGAAGTGCTTTTTGTAGTTTTTCTTTTTGATTAAGCTTTTAGCAGTATAATTAATAATATAATTTTGAGATTTGATTTTAAATTAAGAACATGGGTCGGTGGTTCTAGCATCTGTTCAGTCACTAAACACATGGACTGATACAAGTGAAAATGCTAGCATGTTTGAAGGAAATGGACAACAGAAACAACCAGGAGCCATCTTCTGTGTGTTGCTGTCCCTGGGGCTCCCTGAAGTACACCTGACAGTTTATGTGGACACGTGAGAATCCCGCCTGTAGTCATAGGCAGATACAGCCATCTTAAAGGGTTAGGACATGCTTAGATCCTTATTTAAAGGGTTTTTGTAATGGTGAAGATGGATGCGATTCTTATCCTCATGAGAGAATACACCGACAGCAGCTCCTCGAAGCCATTCTACTTACAGGAACATTTAAAAACAAACCCTAGAAGTTTTGAACTGAAGTTTGTTTGTTTTTTTTTGTAATTGAACAGAGCAGTATTGGTAGATGGAGTTAAAGGCGTGATCAGCTGGGGAAACACAAAACTGTGTAATGATTCAGAATTGCCTCGGAAGGTGAATTCAGAACAGGAGAAAAACTGATGAGCCCTGCAGGACAGACACAGCCGCGCTGTCGCCGCTCAGGGAAGGGCTGCGAGCTGTGTGGAGGGACGCGTTTCAGGATGCTGAGAAGGTGCTCCTGAGCTGCTGAGAGACTGCAGCTGGCTCTCACCTGTCCGTGGGGTCTGTTGATGTAATTGGCCACTTTGTGAGTCTTCATTCAGCATATTTAAAATGACGATTTCTGCAAAGATTACCATTTTATTAATAGCTTACTGGTCAGATACTACTACAAGAAGAAATTGTAACAGGGTGTGTGAATGTTAACATTTGGAGTCATCTATGACAAAACTCCACAGCCATGGTGTCCTCTGTGTCATTACCAAGCACATGTCACCTCAGATTGTATCTCAGTGTTCACTGAGGTGGTAAAAAAATGAGAGGGAGATTTGGCTTAGGGAAATCAATAGCTAGAATATGCACATTCTAGACAATTTAGTAGTGAAACAGTTCACCTTGAAAACATGCACATGTACATCTATGTTATTAGCTTAGACAGGGAAGATGTTTGTATTTTGAATTTAAGATTAATTTTTCTTTATAGGGAAAAAAGTCAATGTGAAGACTAGAGAGCAAGATTAGGTAAATGAATTCATGTTTTCTCACTGATTTTAAAAAAAAGTCCATAAGTTTGGCTTTAAATATTTAATTGCTAATTTTTCTGAGGCTGAACTTGGGAGGAGGTACAAGGCAGTTGAATTATTTTCTTTTTAAAACTACATATAGGATCTATAATGAAGGTATTTGATTGTGGGAACTCATAGGTCCTGAGACTTATTTCATAATACAAAATTATGATAGTGGTAAAATAGATGTGATCGGTAAGCTATTTTCTGTGACAGTTACTTCTCAGAGACAGTAAAATGGAGGGACCCAGTGGGTCAGATTCTTTAAGTTAAAGGACGCAGGCACTTCAGCTTCCTCGGAAGATGACAGATGTGAAGCTCCCACCAGGAGGAGGCTGAACACTGCACCAGATTGCCTCCTGCAGGCATCACACTTCAGCATTTTCTCATTTGTTCATATATCATCGGTTAACACCAAACACACACACATACACGCACAATACCCCATGGGGCGAGAAAGCCATGGCGCTGTGTTACGTCCTGGAGTCAGGATTCTTGAAGTGTGCGCTGCTGGGACAGAAGTGAGCAAGTGTTGAACCTGATGGACACATAAGCCAGCAGAGCCTTCTCTGAAGGACAGACCAGGCAAAAGAGGCGTGCTCCTTAGGGTGGGGCGGGCAGGGCTGTTCATCTCTTTCCCTCACTGTGGTATCTTAGGCAGGTTCACTGTTGAGAAGAACCTTAGGACAAGAGAAAACAGACTTCACATAAACTTCTTGGGTTGCTTCTGAGCATCACCCTTGCCTCAGAATACTTGGACTGTTGACCCATACCTTCCTCCATCTCTGGCACTCTTTCATGACGAAAGCTCTGGAAACACCGCCCCATGTAAGACATGTTTTCCAGCTTTTCTTTAACTACATCTGTCTTGATGGAGCTGCTTGTGTTTAGCAGGTCTCTTCAATGCTCTGTGCACTGTGTAAAGGTGTTGGCGAAGCAGTTACCAGCAAGCACTTGAAGCATGACTTTGCTTTTTTGCAGATGATCATTCTTTCCACCTGAGGTGCCGATGCAGTGGAAATTACAGCGTCTCCAAGGCTGAAGCAGAAGAAGTTCACCTGATTCCCTGTGATTCGTGTTCACTGATCATAGAACTCCTTCATCAGAACTGAAGTTGTTCACTGCTTGGAACCGTTTACTGTGTTCTCAAACCAGATGAGAGGCCATTGAGCTTGTCCATTCAAGAAAATACGTTTTTAGCCCCATTATTTGCAAAGAAAAGATGCAGTTGCCAAGCAAAAACTGCCTCAGATGAGTCAAAAGTAAATACAGTTGTTTGAGTTTTAAATTTAAATTTATAGGTTGCCACAAAAAGGACTTGAATTATAAATTATATTTAGTGAGAAGTTCCCACCTGATAACTTTGTATTCTTTCATTTTCTCCTTGATACAGAATTAAAATGTTACTTTTCTTAATATGAACATGTCTCCTCTTTCAGTGGGTAATAGTCTCATCATATTCCTTTATAGTTACTAAATTTCTGATCCAACAGGTAATGTTTCTAGCTGCCAAAGTTAGTTATAGTCCTGTTGCATATCTGTCTCAGGTTCTGGGGTCAGTAGAAGAATTTAGGGTCTTTGTGAATACATGTGAGGGCAGTTGTCTCATAATGAAGGCTGGGTATGGATATCCATGAAGTTATTTCAACATTGACAAAGAAGGTTAAGTGGCAACTATAGAAAGAGATGGTACTGGAGTCAGAAGACTGATCAGAAGACTTGAGTCCAATCTTGGCCCTGTTTTTCCAAAGCTCATGAACATTGTCATCTTCAACTTTAAATTTAGGAAGCTTTAAAAAAAATGACTTGAAATTGGTACATTACTTTCTTTTCTATTTCAGAGTATTAAGATAGAGGAGTAATGCTTATATTTACGAATAAAAAAACCACGGCATTGCTGGTATGATGAAATGGAGTCTTTCATGTATTACTGACAATAGACCGTAGATGGCCTATGCCTTTTCTATGTTTGCAATATTCTGTGTTCAGACAGTGTAAGTCAGAACTCATTGAAAGAACTTTAAGGGATCCTTTAGAAACATTTTTACTTGATTTCAGGAAGCTAATCGTGTACCTTAGCAGTTTGTGTTTTTTGATTTTTGTTTTTTGTTTTAAATCAAACTCTTGTTGTTGTCATGCAGGGCTTAAAAGAATAGTTTATCTGCTGACTGGGAAATGTAGTTGAAGAATGAGGCATATTTAAGAAGAGTGGATTAGTTTCATTATACTGATAAAGCCACAAATTCAAAAGAGAGGTGGTCATCCAGGTTCCCACTCCCCAAATATTTTCGTATCATAAAATTTAGATGACTTATGAGGGAGACCCAAAAAAACGCGGAATTCAGTTTTGGAGGGTGGGCCCCTTGTAGTACACTCAAAATTTGTTCCTTTGGCTCAAATGGTCAACCAAAGTTTTTAACTGGAACTTCTGAGAAGGTTCAGGGAATGTCCTAAGTTGTGGCAAACAGGTGACTACTTCTTCCACCATGACAGTGCACCTGCCCATACTACTAAGTTGAGTGTTTGGCAGTTTTAGATTAAACATGGCATGACCCCTATGACCCATTCTCCCTATTCACCTGATCTCACCCTGATCAGGAGAAACTTTTTTTGTTTCTCCTGATGAAAAGTATCCCCAAAGGCAAACGTTTTGCTGATGTGGACTAGGTGAAACAAAAAAACGGCAGAAGCACTAAAAGGCATCAAAATTGATAAGTTCAGACACAGTTTTGGGCAGTGGAAAGAGCATCTCGATAGGTGTACTCCATCAAATGGAGAGGACTTTGAAGGTGACTGAAGTTTAAATACGTAAGAGTAAATACATACTTTTTAATAAATAAATTCTGGGGTTTTTTGGGTCCCCCCTCATATTTTGGAATATATTTTAAACCGTATAGTTTTAACTAAAGTATCTTGCTGAGTGTGTTGCTTATTTTTTACAATTAAAAAACAACTAAAATCAAATAGTAAATAGTTTATTGGTTAGTACACAGTTTCATTGGTAGTAATTAATAGGAGACAGCGAAAAGTCAAAAGTACAAATGCTTGCTAATCATCAGAAAATCTTTGGCCATTAGGGCTGTCACGTAAAAATCCAAAATCACTGAGAGGCCAAATCTGTAAAATCAAAATGTGGTTGAAGACAATTAATGATAGTAATGTTAACATCACAGTTCCTTTTTCTATTCATCCCTTTTATCTGTGCTAGATAATTAAACACTTTCTCTTTGCCAATCAAGAATAAAATGTTCTGCATCAAAATCAGATTTTAGAAAATAAACTTGTATGTGTACACGTGTTTAAACCCTACAGTTTGGAACATCCAAACATATAAGACACTGTATGTGTGTGGCATGTGTATATATGTATGAATATATGTGCGTCTGTGTTTTACTACCCTCAAGAGTGAAGTGTACACCTTTACCTTACAGTGTTTCGGTTCCAAGTACTCAAATATGGCACCTGGATACATGTAAAGAATCCTGCAAATTATCCAGCAGCGTGTGTCTGCTCCTTTCCTCACTGTTTGTAATGGAAAGGAGGGGCCCATGAAAGCTGTAATAACCTTCCCTAAGAGTCATGCGTTCACCGTAACCAAATGAGTCCATGACTCGCTGTGCCTAGCTGCACCATCCCTGCATCACAGGCAGTGTGAACTGGCCTGCTCTTCTGCTCTCAGTTACTAAGACATGCCTGGGATATGAATATGGCTGTAAAAGTTGTACAAGAGAGAATCAGATTTCAAATTAAACTTTTCTTGGCCTACAGCTAAGGTGGTGGTGAATGTTACTCTTATCTCTGTGGGACTGGGGGAATGTTTTGTATACAACTGTTAAGTAAAAGCCAGCAGGTGTATAAGATGTAGTTGGTGTGACAGTTAAGTCCACTGACAGCCTGAAGATTTCAAAGTTCATTCCTAGAGAATTTGTTTTTTCCAGCTCAGAAAATAAAGGCTACATTTTAAGTGGAAAACAGTACCTTAAAGAAGATCCGTCCTCTTATCAGTCCGTATGGAATAGGTCCATAGTACCTGGAATCTGTGGAATTCTGCAGATTATCACCTTCTAACCAAACATGACCAGTTGGCACCTAGGATCAGAGAAGAAAAGCAGCACCTTTAAAAAAGAATAATGCCTAATTTGGGTACTGTAATTAAAACGCATGTCATTTAGAGGCATGGGAAAATGTCCTAAGGTTCTCTCTATAAAATACATACAGATCCGAAGATTTGCATTTTTCTTTTATTTCTTGTTTCATACGCTAACTAACTAGAAATCAGAGGTTTCAGTTTTTAAAAAGACCTATCTTTTTTTGGTCGTACGGCTCCCAAACATTAATTTGTTATACAAACCCCAAACTGAGGTTCTAAGAGATCAAAACAGTGTGACAGGGTCATTAATTTAATAGACTTCAAAAGAGGTCATTAGGATGCGGACTGAAAATGTGCCCTTGTGTCTCAGTAGCAGCATAAGCAGGGCAGCCACTCACTCATCTACATCCTGGGGCCAACAGCAAGGCCAGATCTATTAGAATGCTCGTGATGAACTGAATGGTAATTGGTTGTGACATCAATTACAAATAATCTCATCATTTTATTGGAGTGGGCTTGTCAGAATTCTAATTAAGATCCCTGTTCTGCTTTTGTATGGGCCATATCTTCAGTGCATTATACTTCAATAATGACCATGAAGAACCAGAAGGACCTATTATAAAATCATCAGTTGTAAAATTAATGATGGTGACCTTCCACAAGATGAAAAGACCCTATGCTCCTATATGTCCTATGTAGAAACTGGTAAATAACTTAAATTTTAGATTTTAATTCCGTGACAATAAGCATATTTAGAATAGAACACATTACTTTAAAAAAGCCTTTGCAATGAGACCTATTTGCCCACTGATGTCCATTCAATATAAACTTAAAACAATTATTCTCCAACAAGTCATTAAAATTACTTTTTAAAATTTTTTATTAAACAGTTTTGTTACCCAAGAAAAGTGAATTATTGACCAACCTAAGTGATATATCTATGGGGAATGAATTTATTATTGCTATTCTTTTGACTAGCTTTTACTTGCAAAACTTACATGTAGAAACATATTCCTATTGGGTTTAATAAGACTACAGAGTATATATTTTTAAAGTCACAATTACTTTCTTGAAAAATAAATGTATATAAGAATGTAAAATTTCAATTTGCACTTTACATAGAGATTCTAAGATTCTGGAATGTCTTATGTAGAAATATTTGCCAAAAACCTTCATGTTAACTCTGCATTTAGATACACTTAAATGTTAAATCTATTTGTAGGAAGAGGATATAAAATTACTGAAAGGAGGCCGGGCCCGGTGGCTCACGCCTGTCATCCCAGCACTTTGGGAGGCCAAGGTGAGAGAACTGCCTGAGCCCACAGGTTCAAGACCAGCCCAGGCAACTTGGTGGGACTTCATCTCTACAGTAAATTAAAAAATTATCTGGGCGTGGTGGCACGTGCTTGTAGTTCAGTCACTTGGAAGGCTGAGGCAAAAGGATCGCCTGAGCCCAGCAGGTCGAGGCTGTGGTGGCCATGAGTCTGCCTCTGCACTCCAGCCTGGGCGACAGAGACTCCACCTCAAAAAAAAAAAAGAAAAAAATTACTGAAAGGATATGAGACAGTAGTAGTATAAGACCACTCACTTATATTAGTGGACTGGGTTATCAGTCCTAGGGCCAACCACAAGGCTACTTCCCCCCTAAATAAATAGTCTTGTGTGCATGAAGCTAAGACCACTCCAGTGGAAAAAATGAGTGTCTCAGGCCATAAATAAAAAGAACAAAATAGTGAACTTGGGAAAGCTATTGTAATGAACATATTCTGAAGTGTTACTCTGAAAGAAACTGTAGGTGAAGATCTTTCATGTTTAAATTTCCATAGTTTCTTTTTAAGATGTGTGTTCCTGAATTCTAAGCATAGGCAATACATATGGGACACAGTAAAAGCTAAAGGTAAACGTTCTACAAATTAATAGGGCAGCATACTAACATGCTGGGAGCCATGCCTCTGCCCATGCCATTGACTGTAAACCAGGAGCATGAAGCTTTCCCCAACCGGCCGATCCACAACTGCTTGGAGCACTCACCATAGAAAGGTGGCCTGCTTAACGGGATGGTGACATCTTTCCCTGCTTGGTTTTTCTGTCTTTACAGTGTTAGAAGAATCCACCAGACAGTAATGTGATGATTTTAATTCATTTGTTGAGTGTTAATTACTTTTATTACCATTGTTATTAGATTTGCCAATCTGCTTGGTGAAAAATGGTATCTTCGTGTCTTCACTGGCTTTTGTCTTATTAGTGAGGCTGAATCTCTTTTCATACATTTAAAAGACATAACCCCGTTTCTGTAATGTCTTTTTGTGCATCTTTTGCCATCTGTCTATTGGGTTGATGATCTCTTTAAATATTAGGGAGATGAGCCCTTTGTGATACAAACGGCCAACATTCCCAGTTTGTCATTTCTCCCATCAATCTTTGCTGTTATGTCTTCTGAATTTTGAATCATAGAAAGGCTTTCAGTTTCATTTTTTACATTTAACCATTCATGTGGACTGCATCCTGACAGATGGTATAACGTTTGAGATGCTTTCAATGTTTACACACTGAATGGCTAACTTAGTACCTTGGTGGTATTTTTCTTTGTGTTTGGCTGTTGGCGAAGGAGAGCATTACTCTCTATATGCTGCTGACTGTCTCATCTCAGGTGAACAGTCTGTACCTACTTGTGCATGCACTGTTGTGGTCTGGGACCTCAATCGTCTTATTTGCAAATATTTCCCCAGCCCACTTTTGTCTTTTTATATTTATTCTGTCCCACAAAGTTTTGGTTTTTTATGTTAAACTTTTATCTTTATACCTTTATGCTTCTTTTTTCATGATTTTAATTCTTTAAGCACCTAAGCTGAAACTGGAACTCAAAAATTTGCTGGTGATTAAATATTTATACGTAGAAATTCTTTGAAAGCACAGTGATAACTGTCACTAGCTAGGTCACATTAATGGCAGTTATGATCTGAGATTCTTTCACATTAGTGAAATAAAATGAAGTATTTTATCTGGGGTAATAAAATAAACAACTACAGAAAGGAATGTTCTAAAATAAACCCAGAATGTATCACCAGGAGCCTTTCTTTTGATACTGAAAATAACCTGTGAAGTACTGAATTTGACATTTAGCTGAGGGAAAAGAAACAGGTTCAAATATGGTCCCAAGCATTTTGGATAAGAGATAATCTATTCAATAGATATTTAGATAGAGATTAGACAGATAATTGGTAGGTTGGCAACAGTGACTTTTGATTTTAAGATCCACACTTAGAGGTTTTCCTGTTTCTAGAGAAGTTTTTGATAGATTAAAAGTAACATCAGTGATAAGGCTATTTCCTTGATTAGTGTACTTGACATGAAACACCAGTCTGTGAGATACACAGATGATCTCTTTACTGTAAATGGATGCATGGCCCTTAGCACGTGTGGGTTTTTCATAAGTAGGATTACCAGGTCACATTATCTGAGCCTTTCTTTTCCCTCAACTAAATGTCAAATTCAGTACTTCCCAGGTTATTTTCAGCATCAAACGAAAGGCTCCTGGTTCTCCAGCACTTAGTATTATCAGTTTTTAAAATTTTTGTTGTTCTAGTAATTGAAGTAATTGTGGTTTTAATTTACACTTTTCTGATGAAAGCATTTTTTCCTTGTGGCTACTAGTTTTGTGAAGTGTCTATTAAATTATTTTGGCCATTTTCAAAATAAGTTATCTTCTTCTTTGTAAGAGTCTGTTATTGACCATGGGTATGAGTCCTTTGACAAAGATTACAAATATTTTCTCCCGGTCTGTGAATTTTAATTTTCTAAATGAATTTTTGGCAAGCAAAAGTTTCTAGTGTTGTTGATGTTCGATTCGTAATTCTTTTCCTATTACATTTCATGCTTTTTGTGTCCCAGGAAATCTTTACGTGTCCCCCAAATCATGAACATGTTACTTCTAATTTTGGTTTTAACTTTATGTTTAGGTTGTATGATCCATTTTGAGACAACTTGTGGGCATGATGTGAGGGAGTTTTGTCTGTTTTTGTTCCTTTATTCCTCTTTTCTTCTGGGCTGTTTTTCAAATTCCACCTTATTTCTTCTTTTGGAAAACTGAATATACACCTTTATCTTGAAGTTTTTGTTCCAGGGTTTCCAATGTGCATCTTTAATCACAGTCTACTTTCTTTGCTGTTACCACTCCTTCACATGCTGTGCCACTTCACGTAAGGTAAGAATTTTACAACACTACAAGTATTTCCATGCCCATCGGTAAATAGTGAACTCTAGACTGACTGTTTTTCACCCAACACTTAAAATATTTCATTTCTTTGTCTTCTATCTTACTGCTTCTTACAACAGATCAGCAGGAGTTCTTTGTCCTCATGTTATCTATATCGTGTTTTTCACTGGCTGCTTTTAAGATTTTTTTCTTTGTCACTGGCTCTTTGCAGTTTGATCATAATGTTCCTTGGTTTGATTTTCTTTATATTTATTAGGCCAGAACTTCTTTCTGAACTTCTTGGATCTCTGGTTTATAGTTTTGATCAAATCTGGGGAAAACAAAACAAAAAAACCACATCTCCTTCTTTTCCATCCACTACACTGGGGCTTCCATAACATGTAAATTAGTTTCTAATGTCTGTCCTATGGGTTTTTGAGGGTATTTTTTTTTAAGCCAGACTTTCTTTTTCTCTAGTTTGCATAATTTTCACTGCAATGCCTTCAAATTCAGTGATCTTTTCTTTTATAGTTTCTAATCTACTGTAAAGACTATAGAATGTATTTCTTAAGCTCTAGAAATTTCATTTGGTTCTTTCTTATATTTACAATTTCTTTCTTTATTATGTTCATCTTTTACTCTAGATCCTTGAAACTATTTCAGAGTGCTTGTCTGCTAATTCTATAATTTGTCATTTCTGGGTCTGTTTAACTGATTTACTTCTGCTATGGGTTATATTTTCCTGCTTCACATATCTAGTAATTTGTGACTAAGCTAGACATTCATTTGTTGAGTAGATTTTGT